AGACGCCAAAAACACCACAAAGAACCCACACCACAAGACCCAAAACACAAAGACCAAAACACCACACAAAGACCAACACCACAAAACACCCAAAACCACACAAAGAACCCAAACCACACAAAGACCCAACACCGACCACAAAAGACCAACACGCCACACCAAAGAACCCAACACCAACACAAGACCAAACACACAAAGACCCAAACAGACACAAATCCCAACACACCACAAAAACGGAAATTAAGTTTGATTGCTGGAACTCAAATTTCTTGTAGATCTGCAATTAACAGTAATTGCTGATGTAGCCATTAGGCAACTTACTGATAGTCTCCTTTACATTAGTTAGAGTTATGGTAACTTTTCTTTAGGTTTTGTGCGGGAACTAGAACTTGTGTTAGATTCATGGTTAGTTTAATTTGTTAGTTAAGTTTGTTACGTGTAAGTCTTAAGGTTACGTCAGGGTGTGTGATAAAGTGCAGGCGAGAGCTCTACCTGTCTGCTGCAGCTTAGCCACCTGAGTTCATCTAAACTGTTTTCTCGGACTCAGACATGATGACACACAGTGTTACCACAAGAGGACCTATCTGGTAAAAAAGTGGGAATTCTCCTTTAGCGTGCAGAGGAGTAGAGCGGTCGTCAGTGATGTGGTCCAGTGGAGACAGACAGTCCATGTTTTAATTAAATACAATGATTATTAATGAATAAGTTGTGTGAGTTGCAGCAGCTGGATGCTCTTCAGTCAGGCCGGCTCGGACGTTCTCCTTGATCTAAAACAGTATATCACACTATTGGAAGCGAGCTCGTTTTATTCAAACTTCAATGTTAAAATATCTCCTTTCCACTCTAAACTGCTTCCCTTCCGTCATTTTCACAACTCGTCCAAATCCACAACGTTATTCGCAAAGTGCAGGATTTTTTGGTAAGATAGCTATAATAGATCCTCTGAGCGTACGTTTGGGTTCCAGTGGGCGGGTTGAGCTCTTATGACAGATCATTTTTAAATCTTGCCTTCGAACAACAGGAGCGCGTGGCGGGAGTGGAAAATGGACTGCACGGGACTGCTGAGTTGATTAGAATGGGACAGGTTTGTCCTTCTCCTTACAGAGACCGCAAGACACTGTTCACCCTGCTTTATCTGCGTGGAAAGCCTGTGAGCAAGGCACCCAGTCTTCAGATAGGACTGTGCATACAATTGGTCTTCTATTCATCGGTTTTGTTAGGTTTAGTTTCAAGATACTGTCATCAGGTCCACTTCGTTCTCCCACAACCCAAGACCTGTCCAGGACGTTGAGCAGGGACCAGTCCAGATTTTTGTCTCTTGTACTTCCAGTGACATTTCACACTCCACCAGTTCTCAGGATCCAAGGTGTCGATCCCCAGGACTCAGGTCCCATAGTGGGATCCAAGATACTGACCTGTTGTTGGTACTGTTGTG